AACAGGATTCAAACAAGGGGAGAAATAAAGATAAAATAATCATAATAAATTGAAATAAAGTGATAAAGTGACTGTTGAAACAAGATATCGCGGTAACACGTTGATCATTGGAATGGACATATTTGGATTGTTGCATAAGTGTGCAGATGTGAGTGCAGGTTAAAGTGTTGAATTAATGCAAAAAAAAAGACAAAACAGAGCCCACCACAACACCGAGGCAGCCATCGTGTGTGTGTGTGTGTGTGTGTGTGTGTGTGTGTGTGTGTGTGTGTGTGTGTGTGTGTGTGTGTGTGTGTGTGTGTGTGTGTGTGTGTGTGTGTGTGTGTGTGTGTGTGTGTGTGTGTTGTGTGTGTGTGTGTGTGTGTGTGTGTGTGTGTGTGTGTGTGTGTGTGTGTGTGTGTGTGTGTGGGCCTCAGCTGTATTTATATTAGTCTATTCTTCTAAAGGATATTTCCTTGAGTGGATCCACTGTGACGTCATTTGGGTTCCACTTTGAATAAAATGTGCATAAGATGTAAAGGTAAATATGCTCTGGCATTTGTCTCGGAGTAACCTAAGGAAGAGCTTGATAACCTGCTGTATATACAGGTTGAACCAGTACAGCGGTGACACGCATATCGCTTCATGTAAAACCTGTCTGTGGCTCAGTTTCTGCTGTTAACAGATCTGCTGTTTAAGTGGCTGTGACAGACCTCACCTACCTCTATTAAGCTTACCATTAATACACATTTTTAAATTGGCTATCATTTGGTTTGATGGAAAGGATGTATGTCTCAATAATGTCTTATCAGACATGTGAAACCAGACAGAACATCCTGAACTCTTGACCTATGCACATTATGCATTTTAGAAGGTGCAAGCAAAGCATCAAAGTTCCAACCACAATTCTAGGAAGGCGTTGTGGTTTTTGACTCCTTGAGAGCGGTTACAATGGTTGACGAAGACAGTGAGCACATGATGCAGACGGACTACGTAAAGATTTGAACCAACTTCCTGGCCCAGCGAATATTAGAGACAAGCTGTCCTTATTGTCTCTGTTAATAAATGATAAATATTTGTATATATATACACATAATCAAAGACACATGGTTGGCACTATGCCTCAATGATTTCATATAATGAAGAGCCTTCGTGTATAGGTCCTGTTTTCAAGATCTATGACATCATTAATTGCGGTCTCTGCTTTTCCCCCAATAGAGACATGCAGGGTGGGCATGTATGTCCAAAAGATAAAAGGCTCACGCATTATCCATACTATTAATATTATTCTTCTTATCTACTTCCGACACTTACAGGTTTTACTGCCTATGGTGACGTGCAGATTACTGCTTTAGTCACAGAGGTGGAGACATGTCAAACCTGTCTGGTACCATGCTGTGTGTGTGTGTGTGCGTGTGTGTGTGTGTGTGTGTGTGTGTGTGTGTGTGTGTGTGTGTGTGTGTGTGTGTGTGTGTGTGTGTGTGTGTGTTTGTAATGACAACAATGCATGATCCGTTTGGTATTTTGGTGCCAAACACTTCGGAGAAATGTTTTGTATAGACCTATAATATATTGTTAAAAAAAAAGAGGGGACATGCAAGATCAGACTTTATTAATATTTTGGTTTTCGTGACCCTCCGGTACCTTTACTAGGACTTGAAATCACGCTGTACAATTTACATTCAATTTAATATATAACAATAGGGTTGCGTTGGCCGGGAATCGAACCCGGGTCAACTGCTTGGAAGGCAGCTATGCTCACCACTATACCACCAACGCTGACGGTAATATATGGGTCTCCACATCGACGTGATTATAACTGTGGAAGCTATTGTAGTGATGTTAATCCCGCACGCGATGATCCAAAACAAAAATCACTGTAATACTCAGAAAGCTTCTTTGTTACTCACTAAAAAATGCAAACTAATAAAGTCTTAAACAGTAAAATGAACTCTTTCCAGACTCAAAATCACAATGTAAATTTTACATTTATATTCAATTTAATATTTAATATTCCATCCCTGACACACTTAATGTATATATAATATCCTGCTTTACTGTGCATTTGTATTTCAACATGTATATTTTCTACTTTTTTAATGCTATTTCCTTTCTATTTGAGATGTTATAGATTTATAATTTCGATAATAAACAATGCCTTGTCTTTTTATGCTTCTGCAACGCAAACATTTCCCAGATTGGGATCAATAAAGTACTTCTTATGTTATCTTATCTTATCTTCCTAAAGACTCAGTCATATCGCCGCCGAAAAAAGATTGCGTTGGCCGGGAATCGAACCCGGGTCAACTGCTTGGAAGGCAGCTATGCTCACCACTATACCACCAACGCCTACGAAAGCCAGAAGGTCTCGATATCGATTGGATTATAACTCTGGAAGCCATTGTAGTTCTGTTCATTCCGCACGCGATGATCCTGCACATAGATACTCATACTCTTTGTTACTCACTAAAAATGCAAACGAATGAAATCTTAAACGCTCAAATGAACTCTATCCAGAGGCAGGTTTCTGAAGCTCTCATTGGACACCAGGATATTTAAAAACCCTCAATATGCTGAGGATATCATCTTTAATCAATTTAGTATGGAGTTGTCTTTGCAAAGGAGTGAATTTAAATGTGTATTCGGTCCAAGTTAAACATTACATTGTTAAACATTACATTGTCCCGTTTCCTTGCATTATATCTGTTTATCACCAGAGGGTGCCAGAGTATAGCCATTGCTAAAACTATTGCATAAAGCTTAACAAAATGCCGCCCTCTGCAGGGGAGATGTTGTAAAAGCAGGCATTGTGTTTTTATATCTGCCTTTGCCTTTTAAAGGGGACCTATCATGCTATTTGTAGGCAATAGCATAGGTCTCAGATATATACAAATATATAAAAAACATGTCTATGAAGTGTTTTGCTCCAAACACCAAACAGATCACCCATTCTAGCCATGCCTCATATCCCTCTATTTCACTTCCTGTTTCTAAAGTGCTGATTTGGGGTATAAAGCTTTTAATAAAAAAGGAGGGGTCTGAGCTCATGCGGGACCCGGCAGCTACTGTCTAAACTAAATGCTGCCGTGATGAAACGCCATATCATGGATTATCAAGGATTGTCTCTGAAACAGTATGGAGCTCAAAGGCTTTCTCTCTTGCCGGTTATACCACAAGGTGAGTTCCTTTTTATTTCCTGCTTCTTCACACACATGCTCTCCAGTACAGGTTAGCTCTGAGTGTTAGCCATGCTAATGGAAACACCGACCATATTACGTCCAAAACAGTCGGGCATTGTTTCTGATAGCAACGTTTCTGATAGTGCCGTGGGTCCACATTTCAGATATTACGTCATATCGGACGCAAATCTGGATCAGCTCCGTTGTTCCCCCGTTTTTAGAGATTTGGGTACGGAGGAAAAGAGAGAGGGTTTTATTTTCTGACGCTGCGTGAGTTCCCTGACTCACCGGGGACACATGTTGATGTAGAAAAGACATCACAAAGTGCATTTTGCATGATGGGAGACCTTTAATACAAACAGTTCTCCGAAAAATTAAGTTTCTATTTTTTACTTACTGTCAATAAATCCCATTAAATGTCGTTTTACACAGTATGTACGCTGTAACACGTGATTACATATTTTGTTTGCATAAATTCAGTAGACTGACAAATGACAGGCAAGGAGATGTTACTGTGCAAAAGAAGATCTTTATTGATGAGCAGATTGAAAAGATAAATTCTATAAGCATCACATCACGCTTATCAGAGAATGTTTACATCTGAAGTGCAAAAGTTATTTTAGAAGGACGAGACAAGGAGGAGCAACAGCAGAACAAACACACCAAGCTTACAATAAATGAAGTGATGAAGCCAGACCAGCTGGAAGCAAACAGAGATGCTTTATTCCCTTCCTGGAAGTTATCAACCTGATTTAAAGTCAATAAGGAAGCTTTAAAACAAGTACAACGCATGCACCTTTTTGCTAATTACCATGGGAAACGTTGTTAGCTTAAACTTTAATATACCTGAGCATCCATTCATTCAGATTGAGGTCAATGTTTGTGCAACACGCTGACTTAAAGGTGGGGTAGGTACGTTTGAGAAACCGGCTTGAGATCGCTAGAATTTGAAAATACACAGCCGGAAAGAATCTGCCACTTCCTTACAGAGCCCCTCCTCCAACACACACGAACGCGCACATGACCAATGAGGGCACGAGATAAGTCTGTGCACAGATGGAAGGCTGACAGGCAGGTAGGCCATCCAGTTATTTTAGCCGGGCCGGCTCAGATGATTGGTCGTGCTTTTTACAGTACTACAGCTTCCACAGATGATATTTTTTTATGGATCTTTTGTCAAAGCACTTCAGATATTCATTGCTATCGGGATGTTAAGAGCATTCCATGGAATATAACAACAAGTGTATCTCGAGCCGGTTTCTCAAACTTACCTACCCTACCTTTAAATGTGTTTAATGTGACTTTTGACTTAATTAAAAGAAGCAATAGGCGCGTTCACATCGGAGCACTTTTCCCGTTTAGTTCCGATAGTGGCTGGAATTTTGCGTTCACACCAAAAAGAGAACTTAGTTCCAATAACTTTTACCCCCATTTTTAGTGCCTGCTGAGAGGTGGTACTTTCCTGGGGAGAACAAAGTACCAATTTCGATTGGCTGGGCGAATTGCAAACCACGCCCCGTACAACTCGGAAAAGTTTTGTGAAGCCGCCATTGTATTTGCTGGCATTAGCATTATTAGCATTAGCATTAGCCCAGCGCACCAACTAACTTACGGCAACACAAAATAAAACATGGGAGCGGTGGAGATGAGGAGGTGTCGCGTTCTGGCGATTTACTCTGAAGGCTTCAGTAGAAGCTTCTGGGAGTCCCAGCAGCTTCTACTGAAGCCAGGCCCCAACTCCGGGGACTTCCGGCCGGGGACTTCGGGTGGCAGTATACGCCGTGAAGTTGTTTGCGGCCTGCCAGTAAACCCAAAGCAGAAGAAGAAGAAGAAGAAGTGGCGTCAGCGGCTCATTTGCGTAATCTTCCCTCAGGGAATTTATTCCGGTGTGAACGCGATCTGCTCTTAGTTCCATGGGGGAACTAAGTGCTGGGAACTAAGTGCTGGCACTAAGTGCTGGCACTAAGTACGGCAAAGTACTTGGTGTGAAAGCGGCTAATGCTACAGTGTAAAAGTACTCTTTTAAAAGTCATAAAGTCAGTAATTTAGCTAATAATCTGAATCTGTAAAGTAACTAAAGCTGTCAGATAAATGTAGTGGAGGTGTTTTTAAAGTATACAATTAAAGATACTCAGGTAAACTGGATACGATACGCCATGAAACTCCTCCTCATCGCCGCCTTCTGGAAGATCAGAATGCTAACTATTAGCTCATATAGCAGAATCCTAGCATGCGCTAATCTATAGGCAATAGAGAGGTGCAGGAATGAGTCATAAAACCCTGTCATGAGTCAGCATTTCATCACTTCCTGGTCTGTAGGACAATGGCTTTCTGAATGTGTTTTGGTTGTTAGCCTGAAATGAGGTCTGTGGTTAAAGTAAGCTGAAGAGATTTGAATTCTACGACATCAAATACGTCAGTAAATACCACACTGGTGGATTCAAGTGTCATCAACGTTTGTTTGACACAGAGATTATTTTCTCGATAACCCAAAATCACATGGAGCAATCCCATTGGACCAGAGAGATGCTGCCTTCAGGGACCAACACAGAAATGATTGAGGTGACTGTTATTTCTGTATATATTGATTGTTGTGCTTTTATTTAGGTCTTAATGTGAGCACATGTATAAATGTGTCTTTGATTGTGCATATATAGGTATAGACATATTTTTACATATATTTGTTTTGTATTCAGAATTGTGGGAAACGGTATTTCGATTCTCTCTGTACACACACACTGAAAGATTGTCAATACAGTTGACTTTGACTTTGACACATACGATATCCCTGCACCTCTATATGAGCAAAGCTGGCCGCCTCTCTCTTCAACACATCTGAGGCTGCGTCTTCGTGGCCCGACAGCGAAGAACCTTCAGGAAACTGTCGATCTTGTGGGAGTCGCGGCGGAAACAAGACAACAGGAAGTTGAAGTTGATTAATTGTGAAATCCGGTCCTGGCCGATGTCATTTCCTCCAGAGAAGGGAAGCAAAGAGATGGTCTGAGCTGCAGGACCCATCTGAGGAAGAGGAGAGAGAGGTCATGTAGTGTCTCTACTTTAAAGAGTCCTCTCCTGCTGATGTTCAGGTGTATATCAGTATGTAGTGTCTCTACTTTAAAGAGTCCTCTCCTGCTGATGTTCAGGTGTATATCAGTATGTAGTGTCTCTACTTTAAAGAGTCCTCTCCTGCTGATGTTCAGGTGTATATCAGTATGTAGTGTCTGTACTTTAAAGAGTCCTCTCCTGCTGATGTTCAGGTGTATATCAGTATGTAGTGTCTCTACTTTAAAGAGTCCTCTCCTGCTGATGTTCAGGTGTATATCAGTATGTAGTGTCTCTACTTTAAAGAGTCCTCTCCTGCTGATGTTCAGGTGTATATCAGTATGTAGTGTCTCTACTTTAAAGAGTCCTCTCCTGCTGATGTTCAGGTGTATATCAGTATGTAGTGTCTCTACTTTAAAGAGTCCTCTCCTGCTGATGTTCAGGTGTATATCAGTATGTACTGTCTCTACTTTAAAGAGTCCTCTCCTGCTGATGTTCAGGTGTATATCAGTATGTAGTGTCTCTACTTTAAAGAGTCCTCTCCTGCTGATGTTCAGGTGTATATCAGTATGTAGTGTCTCTACTTTAAAGAGTCCTCTCCTGCTGATGTTCAGGTGTATATCAGTATGTAGTGTCTCTACTTTAAAGAGTCCTCTCCTGCTGATGTTCAGGTGTATATCAGCATGTAGTGTCTCCTCTTTAAAGAGTACCTTCCCAGACAGGATGTCCAGGCCGTCCCCCAGGCTCTTGGAGTGCAGCTGCAGCTCCTGGATCTTGTTGGAGATGGAGGTCTGCTCGGGGTGATGGAGGGTGTTTGCTGAAGCTGAGAGAACCAGCAGGGGGTCGGACCAGGCCTGGAGCAGGGAGCGAGCCAGAGAGAGGAGGTCCGACTCCTGAGAGGGACACGTGATAAAGATCAGAGGATGCATCAGGGGAGGCATTTGTAGGCGTGTGTGTTACATGTTGTGTTACATGTTGTGTTACATGTTGTGATCGTGGACCCCTCGTTTCTGTTGTGTGATTGTGATGTGCTGTATGTGACATGTATGTAGTAACGTGTGTTGATCGCATTTTATTGTTCTCCTTGATCCTTTCTTTATAACTAATGCTGTTGATGTGTTGTGATTTTAAAAAGGTGCCTGTTATCATCTGGCCGGGGACAACAGCTGGAAATGAGCAATGTTGGCTAAAACGGCTCCATTTACTGTTTTTAGTGACAGTTGATCAATGAGGACTGTCTACTACACTATAAACAAATAAACCAAACTAAACAATATGACAAAGTGCTTTACAAAAGGAAAGATATTAACAATATACAGATACAGTGAAGATGAAGGAAAGGAGATCAAAAAGCTGAGGGGAAAGGGTTTTTGAAAGATGTTGTAATACACTAGTTGGCCTGCAGAGGTCAGTAAGAACCATCACAATCTAAATACTTTCGTTTCTACAATTTAGAGTAATTAATTGTTACAAAAATGAAATAATATCAAATAAAGATATTTATTTAAACACAAGAAGTTAAATTAAAATATTCAATAACAAAGGTTTTTAAAAAAGATAAAGATATAGTGAAAATGAAGGTAGGAGGAGATCAAGGGAAAGGGTTTTATTGAATCGTAATAGTCCGTGCAGATAATAAGACTTTTTGAAAGGTGTTGTAATACACTAGTTGGCCAGCAGAGGTCAGTAAGAACCATCTCAATCTAAATACTTGACTACCTGCCTACAGATTGGGGTTTGTTTCTCCAATTTAGAGTTAAAAGATGTACAGTAATACAGTATAAAATAAAACACCACAAGTGAAAGTAAAAATGTGCAATAAAAATGGTTTTAAAAACAGAATAAAAGTATTTATAAGACATGAGAAGTTAAGGTAAAAATAAGCAATAAAAGAGGTAAGAAAATATATATTGCATTAAAAAGATACAATTAAAATAATGAAATAAAATGTAAGAAATATATGTATATAAACACAAAAAAGTGTAATAAGAACAGAAAATGAAATGTGCACATTGTCATTCACTATTATAACAATAATAACATATGTAAAAGTGTGTATATTATCACAATATAGAAGGATGTATTGATGAAGATATTAACGATGAACACCAGATTATTATCCCTTGTGATGGACCATCACAAAAAGTAAAAAAAGACTCACAGAAACTTGCAGAGCTTGCTGCTTGTCGCTGGGCGTCTGCAGAGAGGAGGTGTGACACATCGAGGGGCGGGGCATAATCACCCGACCAATGGGAGGGAAGTGAGAGTTCTGGGGGGCGGAGCAAAGGAGCATCATCATTATATTATCTTATGCTGGGGTGTCAAACTCAAGTCCCCCGACTTCACTTCATGTGGCCCCGCAAGAGCTCTGAAAGAATATAATAAGTTTATTATATGGTTACATGCCGCTTTACGAAAAGCACGTAGCCCATAAACTACATGTCCCACAATACATCTCATTTTGTGACACTGAAGAGACTTGCAATTATTTGAGACTTCTGCTTTCAGACGTAGTTCATAATGAAGTTATTATCCTATCCGATAATAATCCAATGCAGAGGCAATCATGTGATATAATACATTATTTTATATATATTATATATGTATTTTTATATAGTCTTAAAGTTACAACCGGCCCTTTGAGTGCAACCATAATGCTGATGTGGCCCGCCATGAAATTGAGTTTGACACCCCTGCGCCTAATGTCTGGTACTTCTCCAATATCTACTCCGATGTGCTGAAACATGAGAAGACTAGTGGTGCAGGTTAGTATATAATGGCATTTAAAAGCCGTGGTGCGTTCACTGACCAGGTCCTGAGTGATGGTGGTGCTGAGAGCGTGCAGTTTATCTGAGCCCTGAGAGGCTCGGTCCAGCAGATCACTGATAGGAACAGAGCTGCAGACTGACACCAAACACACCACTGCACACACACACACACACACACACACACAAACACACATACACACACACACACACACACACACACACACACAGTTAGTGGGAACATTTATCAACTAAATGGGAATGTTCTACCCATCATAATACATTGAGTTTACCTATACCTATTTGTGTGGCTTTTTAATGAATGATTGACGGTGGTTCACAGGCGCAAACGCGCTTCAGCGGCACAAAACATCTTCAGAAACGATGCAGATATAAAAACACAAATGTTCCAAAATCTTCAGCAACTTGACAACACGTGCAGCATTTAGAAAACACAACAGAGGGTGAAGAGGTGCTGCTGCACAGGCAGTATGAGAAGAATAAAGAGCTGTTTGAACATTAAAGGAGAGGTGTCATGGCCATTTCCACTGATCATAATTCCATTGTTGAGGTCTACTAGAATAGATTTATACTGTGCATTGTTCCAAACTCACATTGGTTTCTCATACAGCATCTCTCCAAACTCACATTGGTTTCTCATACAGCATCTCTCCAAACTCACATTGGTTTCTCATACAGCATCTCTCCAAACTCACATTGGTTTCTCAAACAGCATCTCTCCAAACTCACATTGGTTTCTCATACAGCATCTCTCCAAACTCACATTGGTTTCTCATACAGCATCTCTCCAAACTCACATTGGTTTCTCATACAGCATCTCTCCAAACTCACATTGGTTTCTCAAACAGCATCTCTCCAAACTCACATTGGTTTCTCATACAGCATCTCTCCAAACTCACATTGGTTTCTCATACAGCATCTCTCCAAACTCACATTGGTTTCTCATACAGCATCTCTCCAAACTCACATTGGTTTCTCAAACAGCATCTCTGTAAACTACTTGTATTCACTGAATTTCACTCTCTGCCTTTAACGGCTCGTTGTAGCTCCAATAGCTCCAGCCCCCACCCTCCCTGTGAGCACAGTGTGCTCTGATTGGTCGGGACGTTGTGAATCGCGCTGAGCTCCGTGGAGGTGTTGTTTCCTTGTTTAGGATACATAGCCAAACACAGCCAAACTCATCCTGAGCACACACAAAGTCACAGCTGAAGTAAAAACAATAAGTGTGGCTTGATATTGAGTAAGAAAAAGGTTGATAAACGCTGTGAGAATGGGTCTGCAGAGAGAATGGGTCTGCGGAGAGAATGGGTCTGCAGAGAGAATGGGTCTACAGAGAGAATGGGTCTGCAGAGAGAATGGGTCTGCAGAGAGAATGGGTCTGCAGAGAGAATGGGTCTGCAGAGAGAATGGGTCTACAGAGAGAATGGGTCGAGAATGGGTCTGCAGAGAGAATGGGTCTGCAGAGAGAATGGGTCGAGAATGGGTCTGCAGAGAGGATGGGTCTGCAGAGAGAATGGGTCTGCAGAGAGAATGGGTCTGCAGAGAGGATGGGTCTGCAGAGAGAATGGGTCTGCAGAGAGAATGGGTCTGCAGAGAGAATGGGTCTGCGGAGAGAATGGGTCTGCAGAGAGAATGGGTCTGCAGAGAGAATGGGTCTGCAGAGAGAATGGGTCGAGAATGGGTCTGCAGAGAGAATGGGTCTGCAGAGAGAATGGGTCTGCAGAGAGAATGGGTCTGCAGAGAGGATGGGTCTGCAGAGAGAATGGGTCTGCAGAGAGAATGGGTCGAGAATGGGTCTGCAGAGAGAATGGGTCTGCAGAGAGAATGGGTCTGCAGAGAGAATGGGTCTGCAGAGAGAATGGGTCTGTGGAGAGAATGGGTCTGCAGAGAGAATGGGTCTGTAGAGAGAATTTCGCCGCAATCCCAACTGTCTGTTATCAGCCTGCAGCCAGGGAGGAGAAATCAGCTGAGCTGCCTGCTCCCTGCACACAGATGTGTGTGTGAGCAAGTCCGTGGATTGGTCAATTTGGACCAATCAGCGGGGGCTTAGCGTAACGGCTCCGCGGACGTAACGTAACGGCTCCACGGATTGGTCCATTTCGTTCCGGGTACGGCTTGACATCATGCCGTCCCGGAAGAATCAAATGGGCAGTGACGTATCTCCAACGAGGCGTTTTGGGGAGGTATTTTCTGTGTTACAGTTTTACTCGCTACAGGGTGTACT